CGTGTCAGGTGAAATAAACTCCGGGGAGAGAGAGTTGGAAAGGAAGATAACCGGAGGCACGGGCTCACCTCTTTTTCTTCTCTCTGACATGGCTCCCTGGGACCCTCCCGAGGCCTCTGGTCGACACAACAGCAGCCGGCAAATGGCAGCGCTCTGTCCAGCGGGACAGATCACACTCCAGCCCCGTCCCAGGGGTGCAGCCGCGTCCTTCATGCCACATGGACCCCCCCCCCCCGAACCCACTTCCTTGGCATCCAGTTGCTTTGGTTCTGGGGACAGAGATGGGGAGTGTGAGCCGGGGGCTGGCCGTGCTCATGGGAGCGTGCAGAGTCTGCGTTCCAACCAGTCCTCCTCAGCCCAGGCCATGGGAGATCACGGTGTGACTCCCTGGGAGCACCCACAGCGGTTCTCAGAGCTGAGCTGCGCAGTCGCCCGGGGCTGGGTCAGCCGGCACGGGACCCCGCCCTGTGCCTGTTCCTCAGTCGGGAGGCCCACGCAAAGCCGTTCACCTCTCTCCAGAGATGTGGCCAGGGATGGGAGCCACAGTGGGGCCGCTGTGGGCTCCGTGGCTCTCCCTGCAGTGCTCCCTGGCTTTGTCTGTCCCCCTGGCCCGCCATCAGTGCAGACGCCACGGCAGGCCCACTCGGAGTGGATCAGCCCTGGGTCTGGGTCTGAGTCACCTCTGTCTGTGTCCTGAATGTGCGTCAGGATGGATTTGCCACAGTGCGGCCCTCCCACGACCCTGCAGCACCCGGTGCCCAGGAGGCTCAGAGGAAGGGCCTCTCTGCCGTCCTCCTGAACCAGTAGAAAGAGCACCTCCCCTTCCTTCTGTCACGCTCTGGGCAAGCCTGGAGCTGTGCAAGCATCTTGCTCAACACTGCTGACCAGGGGGCACCACCCGTGCCCCTGCGTGGAGCAGGTATCCAGCTCTGTCTCCGCGGTGTGAGGGAAGGGGGGACATGTTCAAAAACCACTGCCGCCGCGTCCTAAGGACATGTCACAAGTTAATTTGTAGGAATCTAGAGGCAAAGATTCGTGTTAGGCCTCCCTCCACTACACATGGCTGTGGAAGGCGGTCCAATCAAAAGCAGAACTTCCATGGGGAGGGCTGTGGGCGGGTCCAGGTTAACAGGTGACTCCTGAGCCCCAGCAATGCCCACTCTTCGCAGCGAGAAGGAAGAGCGTGAACAGGGCAGCAGCGGAAGGGTATGGGGCTCCACAGAGAAGAGGGAAGGGTCATGCTTCAGGCAAAGCCATCAGGATACGCGCCAGGGAGGGAGCTAGAACCCCAAGACCAATGGAGACCCCTGGGGTGGGGGGGAGGCCACTCAGAGAAGCCTGAGCTGAGCTGCTTGTGGTCCTTTCCACCAAAGGCCAGGGGGCGCTAGCCTTTGCCTCCCTGTGCTGCTGCATGCTACCCCAGGCAACTGTCATGGAAGGACACAGAGAACAGTCACTTGCAAACCATCCCAATAAATGGACCCAGCCCTGCTGTTGCCATGGAGATCCGAAAGAGGTCTCTCAAGGAAGTGGGGGTTGGGCTGGACTTGGAGGCAGGAGAAGGGGCGTGAGGCCGGGGTTGGGGGGAAGGCTGAGACACACACAAGAGGAACAACCCCCCCCCCCCCCCCCGGGTGGGAAGGGAGGGGAGAGCGCCTCACACAGCAGACAGGTGAGGAAGACGCCAGCCCGGAAGCCGCGCTGCCCATGCAAAGGTGAATGAGTGAAAGAGGAAAATTCAGCACGGGAGAAATGATTCACCCTCCTGTCAGAATGCAAAGGCCGAGGGAATTTGAGAAAAGGTCGAGAGACCACTCACTTAGGCAAGCAGTCTGCATATAACAGTGTGTGTGTGTGTGTGTGTGTGTGTGTGTGTGTGTGTGTGTGTGTGTGTGTGTAAGGGATTATTTTTTTTTTCGTGTCTTAAAGAGCATATTCAGGATTTGCTTTAGCTTTTTGTTTTTGTGGGTTTTTTTTTTTTTTCCCTCCAAACACTTCTTTTGTCAAGTACACTTTTAATCTGTACTAAAGAGGACTTGGGAGCCAAGTGAGATTTCCCTTAAGCCATGGGTTTGTCTTCACCGATCCTTATTGTAAAAGCATGGAACTGTTGGTGAACTGAGAATGAATCATCTCCCTGTGTTGGAACCCTTCTTCTAAGAAGGAAACAGAAAGAATGAGTGACATGGTCTACATACGTCAGCTCAGGCTGGGAAGGTAGTTCAGCAGTAGAGTGCACGCCTTACATACGTCAGCTCCCCCAGAAACCTGGGAGAAACCTGGGAAAGGAGGCTGGAGCCTCGCTGTGTCCTCCTACCCCTGGGACACATGCTGAGTGACCAGGCGGGCGGTGCTCTCGGCTGGGGCCGAGAGTCCAGGCTCCCCGGCAGGACACAGAGCCAGCGCTGCACCAAGCCAGGCCTCTGTCCAGCATATGACCGTGACTCTCGTCCAGCCATTACTTCCAACTATACCCTTCCCGTCCGTCCTTCACCAGGTCAGATTGTAAAAGCACACAGCGGCACATATCCTTACCAATCTAGATGGGGCACCTCCTTTATGTTCCAAATCATCCTCTTGGCTAAGGGGAGATTTTGGAACCCATATTTCAAAGCCTTTCCATCCCACTGAAACCCTGATTTGGATGGAGAAAGGGAGGAGGGTTAGATCCTCTGTCCGTGGGGCCCTTGCATTCTGAGAGCTTACAACTAGGCACTGAGGCCTTTCCTGAGTGGCTGGAGGATATGGCAAAAGTAGCAGGGATGGTTGTAGCGTTACACAGTGGCAGCAGCGGTGGTGGGGATGCTGGTGGTGGTGGTGTTGGGGGTGAGGGGCCGTCAATGAACCCAGAGGGAGGAAGGGGCTCCTTGCTGGCAGAAGTCTGCAGAAGTGTCAGCAGGGAACGGCTAAGGTGTCGACAAGTGAAAGGAAAGGAAGAGCAGGCTTTGAAAGCCCTCTTAGGGCCCTGTGGTGAGGGGTTTGTGGGCCAGGGTCTGAAAGAGAAGCTTCCTCTTGTAAGCAAGCACTTCCATGTCTTCTCGGGGTGCAACACTTGAGTCTGTGCTTGCACTTGAAAACATCCCTGATAGTTTGTAGGCCTGTACAAAGTGTTTCTCTTCAAAATAGGATTGCTAAGGAAAAGGAAGAGCGCTGGCCCTGGCTCAGTGACCTGCTTCCCCTCCCATGCCCGATCTGCATCTGTCCTTCCAGGCTACCTTCTTAGAACGTGAGCTTCACAAGGGCAGAGCCTTCTCTGTGTATTCCATGCGGTTTTGTTTCTCAGAGCCCATACAGCCTGGTACCAGGCAGCTGGGTGGTCCTTGCGGAAGAGGTCAAAGGAGGATCTCCCTGTGTGGCCAGCAAACACACCATGGAGGTCTGGCCACCAGAGGGAGAGGCCAACCAGTATGGCTTGGCTGAGGGCCGAGACTCGGTGTCATCTGCTTCATTCTCCTCCTTCCTCCTGCCCTGGCGAGCCCAGCACGTGAGAACTGGGCATCCCCGAGGCCAGGTCCTGGAGAGCAGGGAAGCTGGGAGGCATGCATTCAGGTCAAGGAGTATCTGAAGGTCAAGGCATGGGCCAGTAGTCCACCCTTCTCCTTGGTTTTGTTTTCCATGTGTTCTTATCCTATCAAATGGAAAATTCCAGAAAGAAACTGAGTTTTCGTGACCTTTATTACAACGCATTTTTTTTATTGTGAAAGTACCGTACAGAGGGATTACAATTACATGGGCAAGGTAATGAGTACATGCATTGTTGCTGCCTCCTTTGTTTCCCCTTCCCATCCCTTCCCATCTCCCCCCTTGCCTCCCCAAAGTTGTAAAGTTCGTTTTTGACATAACAACTTGTACATCTCATTGTTGCAGTGGGTCCACCTGTATCCCTATTTAAACTAGTTGTTTTTTCCCTTCCCCTCCACAAATTATACCAACATCAAATACAGTGAAAACAGAGGTTATACCGCGGGGGAGGGACATACAAAGCAACAAAGAAATCATCTTATAAATAAGTCAGAAACAATCACATGGAAGAAAAACCATTTGAGTCCTTATCTTGGGGTTCATTTCACCTAACATCAACTTATCTGACCTTTCCTGCTTGTCTCAGACATATACTAGTTATTGCAAATAAGGGAAACCATGGGACCTATGTTTCTTTGGGCCTGGCTTACTTCATTTATTACAACACATTTTTTTTTTCTTTTTTTTTTATTATTATTTTATTTTATTTTATTTTATTTGAAAACATACTGTACAGAGGGGTTACAATTACATGGGCAGGAAAATGCATACATTTCTTACCAAGCATTGCAGCCTCCTCCTTTGTTTACCCTTCACCTCCCTTCCCAGCCTCCCCCCTCCCCCCCACCCAATCATACCCCCCCTCCCTCCCCCCACCGACATTGTAAAGCTGGTTTTGACATGATTACAACACACTTTTAAAAATACTTTTCCAACTGTTTTATCTGTTCTTGTTCGTCTCCTACAATGGCTGACTTATGAATGAAGCTTTATTACTGATATTTACATGTAGGAAAAGACATATAAAGGGTTAGATCCTGTCCAAGCACTGGTGACTCATTCGTGCCTGTCTGCCTAGCTACCCAGGAGGCTGAGATCTGAGCATCTGGGTTTGGAACTAGCAGGAAAGTGTGTGAGCCTCTTATCTCCTATTAACCACCAAGAACTGGAGCTGTGGCTCAAAGGGTAGAGCTCTAGCCATGAGCAGAATGCTAAGCAAGAGTGCAAAGTCTTGAGTTCAATGACCAATACCATAGAAAGGAGAAGGGAGGGGAGGGGAAAGGAGAGGAGGGGAGGGAAGAGGAAGGCAGGGGAGGGGAGGGAAAGGAAAGGGAAGGAAAGGGAAATAATTAGGTCCTGTCCAATGTTCAGGTAGCCGGATTGTCCCCTTTGCTTTTGTTTTCTGAGTTTCTGCAGCACTGAGCTCACGCTTGTCCCCCTTGATCCTTTCTCAACATGCTCCTTCCTCTCCCATTCAGGCTCCCAAGAAACATCTGCAGAATGGGATTATCCGTGGCTACCAAATCGGTTACCGAGAGTACAGCACCGGGGGCAACTTCCAGTTCAACATCATCAGCATCGACACCACGGGCGACAGCGAGGTGTACACGCTGGACAACCTCAACAAGTTCACCCAGTACGGCCTGGTGGTGCAGGCCTGCAACCGGGCTGGCACGGGGCCTTCTTCTCAGGAAATCATCACCACCACCCTCGAGGACGGTAGGTTCCGGGCCTAGGTGTGCGGGGTACAGTGCTCTCCTCCGGGGCCCCTGGGACTCACTCTCATTGGGCTCCCGGCTGCCGGGCAGTGCCTGCCCCATTGACCCAGCCTTCTCCTGGTCGGATGGGAGTTGAAGAGCCAATGCGCTCCCCTTTCAATGAAGGAGACCCCCCTCATCCACTGCCAGCATAGGACTTTATTTATTTACTTATCTATTTTAGTCAGAAGGCTTGAACTCTGGGCCTGGGCACTGTCCCTGCGCTCTTCAGCTCAAAGCGAGTGCTCTAGCTCTTGAGCTACAGCGCCACTTCTGGTTTTCTGGTGGTTTATTGGAGATGAGAGTCTCACGGACTTTCCTGCCTGGACTGGTTTGAACCTTGATCCTCAGATCTCAGCTTCCTGAGTAGCTGGGGTGACAGGTGTGAGCACAGGACTTTTACTGGGTTTGTTCCCAAGTAAAACCAAGTGTCTCCTGACCACCGCAAAAGCCTGATCTTTCTGAAATTTTTTTCTTCTCAAATCAGTGCTAAGAAGGATTTTTCTCTTTTTTTTTTTTTCCTTTAAAAAAATTCCTTTTGCCAAGCACCACTAGCTCACACCTGTAATCCTAGCTACTCAGGAGGCTGAGATCTGAGGATCAAGGTTCAAAGCCAGCCTTGTCAGGAAAGTCCATGAGATTCTTATCTCCAATGAACTACCAGAAAACCAGAAGTAGCACTGTGGCTGAAGTGGTAGAGCGCTAGCCTTGAGCTGAAGAGCTGAGGGACAGTGCCCAGGCCCAAAATTCAAGCCCCACGACTGACAAAAAAAAAATCCTTTTGCTTGCCTGCTTTTTTTCAGGCATTCTTTAATTATTTCCTAAAAGGAGTTGCCATATAAATGAAGCTCATGAGTATATATTGATAATGCCACCTCTCTCAACGTCTCACCCATCCTTCTCCTTCCCAGCCCTTCCCTCACTGTTCTTAATTTCGTAGGGTATACATTGGATTATTGTCTGCATTTTCCCCTTCTCTTCGTTCATCTACTTCCCCTTAGGAGACAAGTTACCAGGCTTGGTAGAGCAGATCTCATGGTGACTATGCGCCCCCTAGTGACCATGACATATTAATTCATCCTTCCAAGACCATCTAAACCTTCAAATTTCCAGCAATGCTTAAAAAATAGGGCAAGAACTCTGATGTCCACAAGTGTGGTGGTTTAGGGGAGCAGATACGATCTGGGGTTCATGACAACGATGATGGTTGGCTTTACAGCAGCAAGTTCACAGGGAGGGAGGTCTCCTATGACCGGAAGCTCACAGGATGGGAGGTCTCCCATCACCGGAAGCTCGCAGGGAGGGAGGTCTCCCATAACTCAATGTGCTCCCCAGGTTTTGCTCCATCCCGTTTTGTTCTCATCGAGGCTTGTCCTGGTCCTCGTTCTGCTCCCTCTCCTAGCTTCCACACTTAAGATCTGCATGAACTCATGCAAAAGACACTATTCTATCCTCCCCTGTCTTATTTCACTGTCTGACTTTCCTCTGGCAAACGTCACAGCATTGAGAAGGGGCCAGGAAGGACAAGGCAGTCAAGGTGGGGGTCATGCCGCTGCTTGTTGGTGATTGACAACAGCAAGGCCCTGATAGACTTGGCACCGCTGCCCGGTGTGGGTGACGAGGCACTGTGAAAGAAAATGAGGGTAGGAGGACACTGAGTCGGACAAGTGGTGGCTCCATTCGTGCATTACGATCAGACGTGTGCTCCTCTCCAGTACAGGCTGACTGACCACCCCAGAGAGAGAGGTGCTCCTGTCCAGTACAGGCTGACCACCCCAAAAGCAGAGTTTATAAGCAGGACAGAGAGAGACAAAGACAGAAACAGAGAGAGAGAGAGAGAGATCACACAAACCCGTTACAGCAAATACACAGATGAATATTCCGAGAGAAATGGCACTGTTCTTTTGTGTGGAGGATTGGTTGGTTTTCTTCTTTTGCTTTGAACATTGAGCTACATTGCTTATTCTGCATTGCGTTGCTACCACAGGCATTACAGATTCTAACTGTTTAATTTCAGTGCCCAGTTATCCCCCTGAAAATGTCCAAGCCATAGCAACATCACCGGAAAGCATATCAATCTCCTGGTCCACCCTTTCCAAGGAAGCCCTGAACGGAATTCTCCAGGGGTTCAGGGTCATCTACTGGGCCAACCTCATGGATGGAGGTAAGAGCTGCCGGGGCCCTGGGCTCGCTCACGCGCTTAGTGCCGTGTGCAGGCCCTTTCCCAAGGTGGGGGCTACTCTGGATGTGGATGATGCCGCTCTGTCGACGAACCCCTCCTCTCTGTTATGCCCCAGTGGACACAGGAACAAACGTCTCCAACATCAGAGCCCTTTGCAAAGCAATGGGAAGCAGAGCAGAAGTGGTGCTTGGGGAAATACAGCCTGAGTAATTGTGTCTATATTCAGACTCTGCATGCAACACGCAAACCGTAATCTCAATCCGGAACATTCTAGGGGGTACAGCTCCTGAAAAGCTAGCCATTTGCCATTCCTCAAATCGGACTCAGGAGAGAATCTAATGAGTTTAAGCTGAACCGTAAGAGAGCTCAAGGAAACTTCCAGAAGGCCTTGACAGGAATACAATTATTCCTCACTAGGACCCAGTAACACTGCAATCCTCAAGCCGAGGTACAGCTCTGAGGCTCAGGCACAATACCCTGGGACCAAACACCCCCCAAAATCAAAGCTCTGTGGCTCAGGCACAATACCCTGGGATCAAACACCCCCCAAAAATCAAAGCTCAGAGCCTCCATTTTCACAGCCTCTTGTTTTTCTCTTCCTCATCCTACACCCTATATGTTTTATCTCCTCTGCTTCTACCCTCTGTCCTTTCCTCTCCTCTCCTCTCCTCTCATCTCCCCATCTCTTTTCTCTCTCTTTGTTTCTCCTTTCCTCCCCCTCCTCCCACATCTGTCTCTGTCTCTTTCCTCTCCTCTCTCCCCTCCTCTCTTTTCCCCTCTCTTCTCCTTTCTCTTTCCCCTCGCATCCTCTCCTCTCCTCTCCTCTCCTCTCTTCTCTCTTTTCCCTCTGCTCTCCTTTCTCTTTCCCCCTCCCCTCCCTTTCTCCCCTCTCCTCTCCTCTCTCTTCCCTCTGCTCTCCTCTCTCTTTCCCCTCTCCTCTCCTCTTTCTCCTTTCCTCTGTCTTTTAGGTTGTAGGACAACTTGTGGCCCCATGCCACCACCTCCTGCCCTCCCCCACCGTGTGTGACAGGCTTTGGCTCTATTTTAAATTCTCTCTGATGCTATACCCAGCCCCACTTTTTGGTGACAAAACAAACAATAAACGGTAAAAAGGCATTCATGCTCATCATCCTCACACAATACTGAGGCAGCTATCCATGTTTGTCCTCTGTGGAGTGAACTGGACAGAGGGGAGAGCCGACAGAGAAAGGCAGGCTGGCAAAGCCCTTAGCCTTGCCAGTACAGAGTCAGTTCCACGCTCCTGACGACTGTCTGTCCCTGCTTCACTGAGTCGCCGTGGCCCGTGGCTGAGACCGTGGCCCGTGGCCGAGACCATGGCCCGTGGCCGAGACCGTGGCCGTCGATGGCTGTGGAGAACCGGCGTCGGCCGAGGGGGTTGTGCCCGCGCACGCCAGCTCTGAGGGCGGGGCCGGCATTCTCCCCTCTGCAGAGGCCGAGGGCAGGTGGGCACCTGGCACGTGGGGATGCCCGTCACGGGCTCCCCTGGCTTCCGACCCCCATCCCAGTCCCCTGGTAAGCGGGCACATGCAGGGTGCCAGGGGGCCCCTTGGAAGGCCCTGCACCCCAGGGGTCAGGCCACTGGCCTCCCCCTGAGGCCTCCTGCCTCAGGCTCCTGGGGCGGGGAGTGGTGGGGGTACACACAGTGTAGCCATTTCAGCACCAACCCGGGGCCCCCAGATGGCCATGGGTCATACGCCAGAGCTGAGTCCCCAGGCTCCACCTGCGCCAGGCTGGAGTGGCTCCGCTTCAGGAAGGAAAGCACGCTCCGAGCTTCTGCGCTGTTGCCATCACTCGGGCAGCGGGGACAGGAGTTCGCCCCAGGTGAAGGAGTTTGCTGAGCCACGCAGCGTAGCTAATTTTAACAAAAGGAGGTTTCCAGCTTTGAGGTATTCTCAGCACATCCCAGGCACGGGTGTTTAAAGGGCACACATTTGCCTTCCCTGCCCATTGCGATCCATCCGCCTCCATCAAGCTCCTGAGCTCACAGCGACCGTCATTTCCACCCCCAAAAGACGCAGAGCTGGTCACGTTGCAGAGAACAAACGCACGAGGCCATGACACGCCCTGTGGGATAGTTGCAGTCGGCCGAGGTTTCTCTGCCCGTTTGCCTAAGTTCATCTCAAGCATCTGAGCTAGGATATCTGAGACAGACTTCTTACCTCAGATCCTCGTGTGGGAAAGTCTGAAACGAATCAAAGCAAAACCAGGGCTGCAGAGCTGTATGCGAGGCCCAGGGCAGACATGGCTGGTGGGCGAGCGGCACGCGATGCTGGACCAGAGGCCGGGCCTGGCGAGCAGCTGAGCCCCAGCGCGGTACTGCCTTTGATGAGGACCGGCCGCCTTGGGTTGGACTGGCCAATCAGTGTTCAGAGAGACTGCCGGCAGGTGGCTGCGCGGCGCCGGTGTCTGCGATACCTGTGCGCAGCCCCTTGAGTCCTCTCGGGGTGCGATGGACGGGGCCGACAGGGCGGTGTGGGTCAGTGTGCTGCCAGGCTCCCTCACGGGTCATGTCTTTCCTTGTTCCTGTCCTCCAGAGCTGGGCGAGATTAAGAACGTTACCACCACACAGCCTTCCCTGGAGCTGGATGGGCTGGAGAAGTACACCAACTATAGCATCCAGGTGCTGGCCTTCACCCGGGCCGGGGACGGGGTCCGCAGCGAGCAGATCTTCACCCGGACCAAAGAGGATGGTGAGATGAGATGCAGGGGGTCTTCAACAAGGGACCCCGGGGCTCCACCAGAGGGGTCCACTTCCTGGGAGACACTGGCAGGGAGCCCCTCCCCCCCACAGGGGTCAGCTTCCTGGGAGACACTGGCAGGGAGCCCCTCCCCCCCACAGGGGTCAGCTTCCTGGGAGACACTGGCAGGGAGCCCCTCCCCCCCACAGGGGTCAGCTTCCTGGGAGACACTGGCAGGGAGCCCCTCCCCCCCACAGGGGTCAGCTTCCTGGGAGACACTGGCAGGGAGCCCCTCCCCCCCACAGGGGTCAGCTTCCTGGGAGACACTGGCAGGGAGCCCCACACACACACAGGGGTCAGCTTCCTGGGAGACACTGGCAGGGAGCCCCCCCCCACAGGGGTCAGCTTCCTGGGAGACACTGGCAGGGAGCCCCACACACACACAGGGGTCAGCTTCCTGGGAGACACAGGCAGGGAGCCCCTCCCCACAGGGGTCAGCTTCCTGGGAGACACTGGCAGGGAGCCCCTCCCCCCCACAGGGGTCAGCTTCCTGGGAGACACTGGCAGGGAGCCCCTCCCCCCCACAGGGGTCAGCTTCCTGGGAGACACTGGCAGGGAGCCCCTCCCCCCCACAGGGGTCAGCTTCCTGGGAGACACTGGCAGGGAGCCCCTCCCACACAGGGGTCAGCTTCCTGGGAGACACTGGCAGGGAGCCCCCCCCCCACAGGGGTCAGCTTCCTGGGAGACACTGGCAGGGAGCCCCTCCCCCCCACAGGGGTCAGCTTCCTGGGAGACACTGGCAGGGAGCCCCTCCCCCCCCACACACACAGGGGTCCGCTTCCTGGGAGACACTGGCAGGGAGCCCCTCCCCCCCACAGGGGTCAGCTTCCTGGGAGACACTGGCAGGGAGCCCCCCCACACACACACAGGGGTCAGCTTCCTGGGAGACACTGGCAGGGAGCCCCCCCCCACACACACAGGGGTCAGCTTCCTGGGAGACACTGGCAGGGAGCCCCTCCCACACAGGGGTCAGCTTCCTGGGAGACACTGGCAGGGAGCCCCCCACACACACAGGGGTCCGCTTCCTGGGAGACACTGGCAGGGAGCCCCCCCCACACACACACACCTGTGGCCTGCCTCTATCAACTCAGAGGAATTTGGGCCACTGACATTCTAGATCCATCTATGGATCCTCTCTTCCCCCAGATCCTTCTCCACTCTTCCTTCCACTTCCCCTCCTCTCCTTCCTTCTCTTTACCTTTCCTTTCCTTCTCCTCTACCTCTACTTCCTTCTCCTCCTTTCTTTTTTGTGTTCTTTAGATCAGATACTATTTTTAAGCCAAATCACGTTTTATCTCGGAGCTGTGATGCTTACTGCTCCTGCTTGCATCCTGTTAGAAGATCTCTGGTCTCTGCCCGTCCAAGTTAGGTACCTGCCTAACCCATCCTGTTCAGTGCCAGTTGGATTACTGTTAGAATCCCTGGTTTAAGAGCTTTGTGAGAACTTGCTTTAATTCTTCACATGATTCCCAGTGACTTTGCTTTCGGACCATTGGCTCTGCAGTGTTGCACAAGTATGGTTCAGTTGTCTGACTCCTAGGCATGGGGCAGCAGCTTCTGCACTGTTCTGAGGGAGACTCCCGGGCACCTTCTCTGAGCTATTTGAGGGAACAGTTTAAAGTCCAATAAGCAAAGAACAACAGTGAGAGCAAGTTAGGAAGGAAGGAGAACTGACTTTGAATTAATGACCTGTGGAGCCTTCCGGACGGAGCCACCAAACCCTGGTGGAGATATGCTGATAGATTCCAGCCAGCCTGATGGCAGGCACTGCCCACCGAGCCCTGGGCAGGCTTTGCTCTGCGCTTCCCTGTCTTCTTGCCAGGATTCTGGTTCCTTGGGAAGATAGGCAGGGCAGGGGAGGTGCCCCGGACCATTGTCACCAAGCATTGTCCAGCCTCGTGTCTGTGCCTGCCTCTCTGCTACAGAGTCTCCAAAGTGCCGCTGTCTCATTCCATTCCAGTAATCCAGGAAAGCCTGCCTGGGACCCAGAGCAGGAGGCAAACACTAGCCTAGCTGTCCATGCATCCCGGGACCCCAGGTCCCCCAGCTGCACCCCACCCTGCTCACCCCAGCTGCTCCATCCGGCCACCCACCCGGCAATGTTCACGGCTTTTCCAGCCCTTCTCACACCATGGTGTTTGCACACGACTTGAGGCTCACTAGAACATACGGGTAGTTTGTTACCCCAGGCAGAGGAGAAATCTCGGGTCAACATTCATGACACGATTAGGAAGTCATTCATCAATAGAACTACCTAGGAAGCAAAGCCCACCGTGAAACAGCCATCACTTAGTTTCTAAATGTAATTTCGAGTGTTGTATAAATGCTGGCCCCCGATCTGCCACCCGAGGGACCAGGGTCTTTTGCCTCCCTTCCCTGGCACTGATCTGACCTCGAACTACGGAGTGCACGGGGCTGCAGGAGCACGCCTGGTCTGACACGTGCTGAAGGGGTGGGGGGCGGCTTGGCACCAGGCCCTCCACAGCCCGCTCTTCCCTCCTGCAGAGCAGCAGGGGCGGCAGGGCAGGGGTGGCACCGACTCTCAGCAGCAGTGCACTTGTCACTGGAACTATTATTTAACGAGAAAGCGGTGACATCTGCAATTTCTAGAAGGATGTACAGCGAGCCTGCACGAAGGACGGGCTCTCGGCACAGCCCCCGCCAAACGGCGATTGGGATCCATGTTTAATTAATCTTCCTGATGTAGAAATCATCAGGTTCTGTCTTCAAGATGACCCCCAGACCCTGGATCTAATTTATGCATCGATTCTCCTCTGCTTTCGCATCCGGGGCCGGTGGTGTGTGGTGTGATTGATAGCAGACGCCCTGCCCGTGGTCTCTCACTCACCCCCAAGTAGGAGGTGAAGAGCAGCCCCTCCACAGACGCGGGAGATGGAGAATACACAGGACTAACTGTCAGCGTTTGTTTCTGGCAAATCAGCGTTTCAGAAAAAAAGTGGAGCAAACACTGGGTGGAAGGTGGGAAAATGAATGTGGGTGAATTTGACTCCATGGCAGCCCGCTCATTTGCAATTTAGCCATCGCTGTGCACTTGATATCTAACTTAATAGGCAGCGTAGAGGAGTGCAGTTTGTGTTTCACTGTGCAGGGAAGAAAAGTGCCAAGACTAATCATCACCTGAGGAAGACTTTACTCCTGTTAGGACTACAGATCCTGGCCCTGAACCCTGGCCCATGCCTGTAATCCCAGCTACTTGGGAAGTAGGGATCAAGCCAGCCCAGGCAAAGTTTTTGAGACACCCCCCCCCCCCTTTCTCAACCCTCACAGTCAATAAAGTGTCTGTGCAATATTGTGCCTACTATCCCAGCTTAGCCTGTGTAAACAGGAGGATTACAGTCCAGGCTGGCTCAGGCATAAATATAGGACTCTATTTTAAAAAATAAAAACAGCAAAGATTAGGTGCATAGTCAAGTGGTAGTGAACCTCTCCAGCAAGCTTTGGAGATGTGAAGTTCAAGGCCCAAGAGCACCAAAAGAAAAATGTTTCAAAGAAAAGGCTAGAGATCCTGTTCATATTTCCCCTGGATCTCATGATACCCATTGCACTGCCAACTTCAACTGCACTGTGCAAAAACATGGATAGAACACAGGTGAAATAATTGGCCACCTTTGTTCACATCTTACTCATTAAGATGTTCTATGTGGTGGGACACTGGTGGCTCCTGTCTCTTAGGTGTCTACTCAGGTCTATGGTCTTATTGTAAGGTCAAAGGCATAGTCCTGAACCTTGCATTTGAGGCTCAGATACATGGGCAGAGGCTGATCTTTGGATAATCTTAAATCTATGGGAATTATTTCAGTTTCAGACTTGATTTTGGGGACTGCTCCATCCATGAGTTCTTGTGCCTCTGTGATGGTTGCAGGAACACACGAGAGACAGCCATGCCAGATTCTAAGACCTTTGATGAAATCTAATATTTTATTTCTCACGGTGTGGCTCTAAGCAGGGGAAAAAATCCACAGGAGAGAATACAAATAGAACACCATCGACTCACTTTTGTTTGTTATTTTCATTGTGCAGGCATAAATTAGTCCCAGTCTTGTGATACCTCTAGGCAAATGTAAACACTGTGTATGTTAAACAAATAGAGATCGCTGTGTTCACATGCAAATATTTGCATGGTGCCTTACTGGAGACATGTCTGAGGAAGAAGATGGCAACAGGGGCAGTCTGACACTGTGGTCTTAACAACTTTCATACTGGGGTGTCTGATCATAGAGCTAGGAGTATGTTACATACATACATGCAATTGTACATCATGAACAGGATGCCAGTGAGTGCAGGAGTATGTTGCATACATGCATGCAATCGTACATCATGAACAGGATGCCGGTGAGTGCAGGAGTGTGTTGCGTACATGCATGCAATCGTACATCATGAACAGGATGCCGGTGAGTGCAGGAGTGTGTTGCATACATGCATGCAATCGTACATCATGAACAGGATGCCGGTGAGTGCAGGAGTGTGTTGCATACATGCATGCAATCGTACATCATGAACAGGATGCCGGTGAGTGCAGGAGTGTGTTGCATACATGCATGCAATCGTACATCATGAACAGGATGCCGGTGAGTGCAGGAGTGTGTTGCATACATGCATGCAATCGTACATCATGAACAGGATGCCGGTGAGTGCAGGAGTGTGTTGCATACATGCATGCAATCGTACATCATGAACAGGATGCCGGTGAGTGCAGGAGTGTGTTGCATACATGCATGCAATCGTACATCATGAACAGGATGCCGGTGAGTGCAGGAGTGTGTTGCATACATGCATGCAATCGTACATCATGAACAGGATGCCGGTGAGTGCAGGAGTGTGTTGCATACATGCATGCAATCGTACCTCATGAACAGGATGCCGGTGAGTGCAGGAGTGTGTTGCATACATGCATGCAATCGTACATCATGAACAGGATGCCGGTGAGTGCAGGAGTGTGTTGCATACATGCATGCAATCGTACCTCATGAACAGGATGCCAGTGAGTGCAGGAGTGTGTTGCATACATGCATGCAATCGTACCTCATGAACAGGATGCCAGTGAGTGCAGGAGTGTGTTGCATACATGCATGCAATCGTACATCATGAACAGGATGCCGGTGAGTGCGTGGTCAGCTGTGCCCCTGAGTCATGTGTCGTCTTGAAGGCACAGGCCATGTGTGGGTATGTGGGGCCATCTCAGTAGAGATGAGAGACAGACAGACACACAGGCAGGCAGGGATTTACAACAATGGGGCCAGTGCTTCCCTCCAACACCCCCTGAAGACAGGGTGCCTGTGGGAAGAACTCCAGTCCACACTGCCCTTGATGAAGTCCACACAGGGTATGGAGAATGCCCTGGGCAGTAGAGCTACCCAGCAGCACCCCACCTCAGTGAGAGCCTGAAGAGGTTCTACCGTGTGGCTTTCCACCACCCCACTGTTCACCTCCATCTCCCAGAACAGAAATATCCACCTCTTCTTTCTCTTCTTCCTCCTCCTTCTTTTCCTTGGGATACTGGGATTTCAACCCAGGGCCTGGGGAACTCAGGAGCTGTCTCTGTCACTTGATTCATTTCACCAGCCACTTGGTGCACTGGTTATTTGCAAGGCCAGCCTAGCATGCCTAGCCATTGACTGAGGGCAGATCTTAGAAACTTTTATGCCAGAACTAGTTGGAAATATAATCCTCTATCTCTGCCTCCCAACTAGCAGGCTCGGGCCACCATTGGACTGAAAGTTGCCTTCTTAACTGCCCACAGGAGAGCCTCTCTGTAGCGTTAGAGCTCTCTGACTTTCTTCTATTTTCAACTTCTGTGCCCTGCCACCTCAGATGAAGTCAGGCCCTCCAGGAAGTTCCTTTCCATTAACTCCAAGTCAGATGACTGGCATCTTAGTTGTAACTTCGTAATCACTCCGTCAGGGGAGAGATCCACCCAACCTGGTGAGAGTTACTGCCCCCCACCCAGATACACACCCAGATACACACACCAGAGCATGGGGTCCTGAGACCACATCCATATCCTGAAACAGCCAATGAACTCCTTTCACAACTCCTGTAGAAAATCAGTACTGGGAATCTTGTGTATTGCAGACGCTAGTCAGTGAGTTCTGCAGACACTCCAGACCTGGCCATGGAGGGGCATGGAGGCCGTTCAGGAAAACAGACAGGGACATGCCACTCCTGAGCATGTGACAACGCCACAAAGAGGAGTCTAGAAAGATCAGAGCCCTCACCGAATCCAGGCTCCTGAAGGGAGAAGCCCTCCTGGAAGAACTGATATTTAGAAGAACTTGAGTATCTTTAGTGTCCTATCATCTACAGCAAGTGTGATAATAATGACTGATCAGCCTATCACACTCAATACAGAATTCCAAATAAATTCTGTACCTGAGTTATCATTGACATCCTTCAAAGTCAGATCAGAATTAGGTATAAATTATTCTAGCTTCATACACAAGGAAAGTAAGGCTTATTAGCGACGTTAATTAAGTTGCCCAGGACATAGAATAAAGCGGCAGAGCTTGGAGTCCACACCTTCCATTATTAGAACGGTATGGTCCAAGCCAGATCTGAGATTTTAACTTCTGATTGGAAAAGGATTGGCTCAGTAATCCAGGAAACTTCCAGAATGGCTTGTCTCACCATGTTTCTCCTCCCTCCTATCTTCTTTCTTGTTCTCTCTCCTTTCCTCTTTCTTCCCTCCCTCTCCACTTCCCTTCCTCCTCTTCTTCCCTCCCCCATCCCTTCTTTTATTCTTCCCCTCTCTCCCTTCCTTCCCTCTTCCACCTTGCCTTCCTCCATCCCTTCCTTCCTTCCTCTCTTCCCCATCTCTCTCCCTCCTTCTTTCCCTCTTCTCCTCCCTCCCCCGCCCTCCCCTTTCCTTCCTTCCTCCCCAACTTACACTTAAGAAAGTCTTTCCAGAAGAGTTCCACTCACGGCTCCCAGAGCAGCTCTCTTTGGCACCTCACTCCCTTGATGGGCGCGGTGGATTGACTGGTCGCCGCACAGGACAAGACTGAGGGTGGAGTGCAGGCTGGGAAGGAGCCCAGCCGGCCCTGAGCGCCAGCTGAAGCCCCAGCTTCCAGACAGATGCTCAGGAACGTTCCGCAGAGTAGCGGGGGCAGGACGCTTGCGCTTCAGAAAGAGTGGAGCGTGTTGGCTGAACCCGAGCAGCTGCTGGATGAAGCAGGATGGCATCCGTGCTTCTAGGACTTATTAAAGTCTCAGCTATTACCCGCACCTACTGGAACCTTGGCCTCAGTGCCCGGGATTGTGTGGCTTTGTTCCCAAGGGAGGGTTGAGACGGGCTTGTCCCTCCCCCCCCCCCATTCCCTTTCCTTGAGCCTTTGATCCCATAGGGCTTGCCAAAAAGGGACAGCAAGACATGGTCGTTCAGATGATGACGGTGGTCATGCAGCAAGACAGGGCTCCTCAGAGTGGTGGTTTTGTTGTTCAAACTTAAGAGTGGAGATGGTGGTGAAGAGAGTGAGTCAACTCTCAAAGTATCTCCTTGGCAGTTGGGTTGTTGAAATCCACCCTGTGTCGGCCCTCGGACCTAGAGCCTGCAAGTTTCATCCTGCAGCTGGCTCCCAGAGTCCGTGTTCTTTCCCCTCCTCCAGGGCTCACCCGTCTCCCCCACATCCATGCTCACCTTCAAAAAATAAGATGCCTAGTTAACTGCTAAGTTAGACTCAATAGCATTGATGCCATCTTCTGCCTTCTAAGATGAGTTATGGAGGGGACTTCCCATACAAAAACACTGTGAAAGCCAGGCCTGTCATACTAGCTACTCAGGAGGCTGAGATCTGAGGACCACAGTTCAAAGCCAGCACAGGCAGGAAAGACTGCGACACTCTCATCTCCAATCTGCCACCAGAAAACTGGAAATGGCACTGTGGCTCAAGTGGTAGAGCACTGGCCTTGAGCTGAAGAGCACAGGGACAGCGCCTAAGCCCAGAGTTCAAGCCCCACAACCAGTAACATAAAACAACACTGTGAATTCTTGACGCACGTTCCGCACTGTGAACATTATCTCTGCACCTCACTAGACCTAAACACGTTCTATTACAGCGTCTTGGGGAGGGGGCCAGAAAGAGTGGGTCTCTGAGGACTGGGGTCGTTGATTCCTACATTTCTAACTCAGTAGGCAAAATGTACGGTCCTGCTCCACACCCGAGTCCATGCTAAGCTAAAAACTGGAGCAGAAGCAGAAGAGCCTGAAGCGGATTCTCCAGCTGTCCGGAGGCCTCTGGCCAAAATGAACCGTGATGGGCTCTCACGGTTTCATGTTAGGCTCTCAAGGAATTAGCTTGGTTGGGTGGGGCTGTGGGACACGGTGAAGCCATGACCGCCCCAGGGGCCGAGCAGCTGGAGTGCCTCCCGAGGGGACCGGGCCCGGAGCAGGGGGGGACGGAAGGGCCTCCACCCCAGGACTAACCCCTGCTCTTCCAGTTCCAGGCCCTCCGGCGGGCGTCAAAGCAGCAGCGGCCTCTGCCTCCATGGTCTTCGTGTCCTGGCTGCCGCCGCTCAAGCTGAACGGCATCATCCGGAAGTACACCGTGTTCTGCTCACACCCCTACCCCACAGTAAGTCGGCACCAGCGCTTTCTAGCACCTTCCGGGAGGTGTGCATGGGAAGGGCTCCTTTGGACCGGCCTTCCTGACCACTGACCTGCGCCTTTCAGCGGCCCTGCTCCTCACCCCTCCCGCTGCGGCCTCCCTGTGGGCCCCTCCCTGTGCGATGCCACACGCTCCTGTGTCTCTGTGCCACATGCTCCTGTGTGTCTCTGGGCGACGCTTTATGCGTTGACTCCAGCGTGCTAGAAGGACACAGGCTCGGCATCCTGGCCTAGGACTCCCGTGCAGTCCAGGGGGCCGCACAGGCCAGCTGTCTGCAAGGGGCAGGTGCAATGCTTTCCTGGAGATTCCCAGTGTCTCTTCCCACACAGAGCATGGGGCTCAGCCCAGCAAGCCTTCCCCAAGCCACCGGAAGGAGATCGATACATGCGGAATGGTGGGAAATAACTCCCTGCCAAGGCTCCACCGTAAAGGCTTCCCTGTCTGGTGGTTTGTTGGGTTTTTGCCACCATAAAGATACTGTACCACTGAGTGTGCATTCATTCAAGAGGCTGAAGCTGGAGGATGGTGTCCAAGGCTAGCTCGGGCTATCGTGAGACCCTGCACCCCTCCCAGGGAAAGAAGAGAGGGGAAGGGAGGAAAGGGAGGAAGGAATAGGGAGGAGAAGAGAGGAGACAGGCAGAGAGAAGAGGTGATGGGAGGGAAGGAAAAGGAGAGGGAAGGAGAGGAAGGAGGGGAGGGAGAGGAGCGGTGGATGGGGGGGGAGAAGAGGGAAGGAGATGAGAAAAGAAGAGAGGAGAGGTACTGAGTCTTGAACTCAGAGCCGCATGCTCTCATGAGGCTTTTTTATTTACTTGCTCTACCACTTGAGCCACACCTCCAGTTCCAGCATTTTGCTGGTTAATTGGACATAAGAATCTTTCAGTTTTGTCTACTAGGGCTGGCTGGAGATCTTCAGATCTCAGTCTCCTGAGTAACTGGGATTATAGATGGAGAGTAGAGGATAGGAGAGCAAAAAGAGGGAGAGAAGAGGAAAGACAGAAGAAAAGAGAAGACAATGCTACTGAGGTGGCGATGACGGTCTTGGGTGCCCGGGACCTTCTAGACATGTGTTTATTGCGCTCATAAAGATGTGCAGAGTCTGCAGTGCAAACTGAACCTGAGCCTGTTTCTCCCTATCATTTCACCCTCATTACTCTTCATATAATTCAAACATCATTTATGACCTGTTGTTGGTAATTAAAATTTTTCCAGTTCATTCATTGCACTGCTCGTAATAGGGAGTTAATAAGAAGTTTGGTTTTCTTTCTTTCGTTCTTCTTTTCCATCGTGAGTTCTGGGATTTAGCATGTTTTGGCGGTGTTGTTGAGATCTTTGATTTTCTGTCTATGCTAGCGATGAACACCAGAGGGCAGCAAGAGCTCTGCTCATTTTCCTGTTCCTAAGTGAATTTTTTTTCTTTGAAATGATTTCATAGCTAATGTAGAACATGCCAGGATAAACCAGGACACAGGATGTCCTATAATTTGATCTCCGTTTAAAAGTCCCTTGGAGAATTTCCTCGCCATTGTCAATTCATTTTCAAGATCCCCAATTTAACACCTTTTCTTGCAAAAAAAGACCTTGCTAGCACAATTTTTTTGCTCGCATATGTAAAATAGATCGCCTAATAACAGGAATTTCTTCCATGGTCTTAATTTAGTTTAGGAAATACATTAAAGCTTCAGACTTGGGATAGAACCTGATAAGGTACATTCGCTGTAAGTTAATCTGGCTAATTGCAGGTTGTCTAAAAGCCGGACAGAATCAAGCATCAGCCAACTCGGGAAACTGGCAGTTACAGCCAGACAGCAAGACCCCCACCCACAGATATAAATGGTACAGTTTGGGGGTCTACTGCATTCAGAACCTCAGCCTTGTAGTGTGTGGAAGTCAACTATTAAATTTAATATATAACACAAACAATAGTGTAAGCAAAGAAAACCCACAAATAGGAGATAACCTTTTAAGATCTCGGGTTAGGAACTGATTGGTCTGGGCTTTATTACTAATATTTCTCTCTACTAACAATGTAAAAAGAAAAGGAAAAATTATGTATGTATATGTATGAAATAAGCATGCATATGTGAAGTGAGCAGTAGAACATGGAAGTGATCTATTTCATAAGGCTAAAATCATATATACAGAGCTTAGATTATGAAATCAAGTAGCAGTAATTTCTCTGCTCAAAGAATACCTCAGAAGGTGTTCATGCTTGTATCCACATCAATTATTCTAGCTTGAGATGCAGTGTATCCGAGCCCACACGCCACTAGGATTGCTGAGTGAGACCATGAGAACAGTCTTCTTTGCTGTTGTTGCTTTACTTGCTCCATCTCTTTTTAAAATTTTTGTTTTATTGTAAGGAAGCTGTACAGAGGGGATCAGGGGTGGGGGGAGTGGGAAAAAACAAGGGAGGGGGTAATAATGCTCGACAAGAAATGTACTCATCACCTTAAGTATGTAACCCAGTCTTCTCATCAGCCAAACTGTCCTCTCCTGCCGCCGCCGTGCGCCCCGCCTCGCTCGCAGCCTTCTCCAGTGCTCTTTCTTGATCCTCCTTTCAAATTCTTTACCATCTCTATGGCTCATCAAATCCGCTCTCAGAAATTGATCCATCCCCTTAAGAAGTTCCATCTTTGTGTCCCTCACCATCAGTCCTAGGTCTCCAAATTCCCACCACCAGCACCTCACCACCACCCACCCCTCCTTCCTTCCCTTTGTATTCGTTCCCATGCTAAATCTGAGCAGGCCGTTCCTTTGTCCAAATTTCATAGACAGCATCTCACTTTGTACTTAAAACATTCAAAGTCCTCAACACGACTAACATTTAGTCCACATCCAGTCTCAAATTCTACTAAGACTCTTCACCTATTAGCTAAACCACCTCATGTCTTAACTGTGTGTGCATACACCTGTGTATTCATTCATGTGTGGGCATTCACGTGTATACCTGCATGTGTACACACACTGGGCCTCTGTGTGCTAAATGCATTGGGACTCTGTGTGCTAAATACTTTCTCTGCACACAAGGAAATACAAGTTGTGACCACAATCCAGCCCATGCACATATGTGTGCGTGCATGCGTGCGTGCACATACACACACACACATACACACACACACACCATCGCTCAAACAAGACTCACAGTTAATGCATGTGACAGCTTTGGCGTTGTTCCATCCCACTGGGGTCTGTTGTATCTTGCAGTGTTTTTTTAAGTTTGTTTCTGTGCTTGAATTCGGGGCCTCACGCTGTCAGTTGGCTTTTTCACTCCAGGCTGATGCTCTATCACATGTGCCACACGTCCACTTCTTGCTTTTTGCTGCTTAACCGGAAATGTGTTTCACGGGTTTGTCTGCCAGGGTTGGCTTCAAACTGTGATCTTCGGATGTCGGCCTTCTGGGTGTATAGGACTGTGCATGCGAATCCTTGGATCCCTGCTTGCTGTGTGTTCTGAACCATCCTCATGGTCCACTTCCTTGCTTCAATTAGTTTTGATCACTGCCTTATACCAGGGAAGTTCTTACTGTTATCCTCCCTTTGCTGAGAATGCGATGGAGAGCATGCCGTGTAGCCAGGATCGTTCAGCTTGTCAGTTGGGTGTGTCACTCCGGTGCCTAGGGGTCACAGTGGAGGGTGGTACCCCAGTGGCTGGGCTCCCTGTGGGGTCTTCACCCCCAGTGGCAGGCTCAGCCCAGTCTTTACACCCTGATCTCCCGCCATCCCCCGCTACACCCACTTCTTGCATCGTTGTTAGTCCCAGGCCCAGTTTGGCCTCCCTGGTGACTCGTTGGCTTCCCACGTGTGACATTCAATCACAGCGGTGCCGTGGGTTAAACCTGGTGCTGTGCTGAACCGAAACAGGGGAGATTCAGTAAGCCTTGTGTTACAATGGGCGGCTGGGAGCCGTGGACTGGAGGCCGTAGCAGGAAGTTGGCAGGGCTGGAGAGACGGTGGTGCGTACCATAGATACTTTCATCTCCACACGACTGAAGTTAACTGATGGTCTTTTTACATGACTCACGTGGTTCTTTTGGTTCTACCAAAAAGACTCCGGTCGTTTGGGGCTCTGGGTCCCACACTGGCAAGATTCCACAGTTGGCTTAAGAGCAGACGGTCGCGCTGCATCTGCGTATGCAGTGGACCAGTCGGGTCCTTGCTGAGTGGGTCTAGGTGGCAGGCACATGCTGTCTCTGGAACATGTGTCCCCTGCATCTTGTCACAGAACCCAGAGGCTGCAAAAGCTCTGGAGATGTTTCTGGGAGGTGAAGCCGCCCCTAAGCATCCAGGTCAGAATCAACACATAAGGATTCTGGTTTTTTAAAAAATCCCTTAGGAAGTGCGTGTCTTCAGGAGACGTTTTGTTTGTGTATGTGTTTATTGTTTGTCTTGTTTGTTCGACACCCAAGCTGGTCTTGAACCTTTGATTCTCCTGTCTCGGTATCCCAGGTCCTGGGATTATAACTGTATAGCACTTTGCCTGGCTCGGGGGAGTATATTCTTGAAGCTTCAGGAATATTGTAATAGAATATGATTTGTCTTCTTTAACTTTTTTATCACACTAGAATTCACATCTATTTATTAGATTCCTGCTCTCTGGGAGAGCAGAAAGGAGGCCTGTGGTACTTTTCAAAAGCTTGTCCTTTAACGGTGGTCTCTCCCCTTACCATATCTTATCAGACCAGCCAATCACTGCCCACCCTTCCCTTCCCCCATCTTACCAGACCAGCCAATCACTGCCCACCATCCCTTCCCCCATCTTACCAGACCAGCCAATCACTGGCCATCCTTCCCTTCCCCCATCTTACCAGACCAGCCAATCACTGCCCACCCTTCCCTTCCCCCATCTTACCAGACCAGCCAATCACTGCCGACCGTTCCCTTCCCCCATCTTACCAGACCAGCCAATCACTGCTCAGTCTTGCTGTGGAACCGACTGTCATTCCCATGTCATCACCAGTACTCAC